AGCAAATAGACTCTTAGAGGCAAAGGAGAAGGAAATCGAAGAAAACCTCTGATTTTATTCTCGACAAGGCATAAGGTGAAGAATCAACACAGATGGTCTTCGGAGTATTACTTAGGGCTTCCAGGTTTGTGTCGTTGTGTGGACTGTGGAGATTGATTATATATGATAACCAAAAAGAAAAGAATCGAGGAGGAGAGAATTAAGGAGGCGAGGAAGAAGCTTAAAGGACAATCAAAAGTTGAAAGGAAGTGATTATGTTCGGTATCGGTTTATGTTTAATGTTTATGTTCTCGGGTTTTCGGGTTACCCTTTCGGGTATCGGGTAAAATCTGAAACCGAACCGATAACCACGGGTCCAGCTACATAAGACCCAATAGGGTAAAATGTCAAAAAACGAAACCGTACCGAACCAGTTTTTTCGGGTCGGTTTCGGTTCGGGTTCTCCGGTCCGGATTTTATGCCCAGGACTAACCTTGCTCACTCAGATTAGTGTTTCTAGAACCTGCAGATTCTTTAATAGAAGCATAATTCTCACACCTTAACTTTGACTGCTTAAACTTGATATAAGATAATCTACTTGACTCAATAGTTATGTAGGCATCACAAAGGAACTGCTAGAATAATCTTTTCGCATGAAGCAGTGTATGAGACTCATCTTCCCTTTTTTGCAATCTAAAGGCAAACCATTGTCTCATACTAATACACTTTTTCTTTTCTCCACTGATTGTTCCTGCCATACATTTCTCTATACCAGGCCTCCACCCATCTTCTCCATAGCAAAATATCAGTGGATATTGTAGAGCTAGATATGATATGTGGGTTTCGTTTATTCTCTTTAGATCACCAGTTTTCTTGTCTTCAATCACAATATCACGCGTTGGCATTCCTTTCTTGAAATCCCCTGGTATCAATGCAGCAACTTCTGATGTCGATGGCATAGCGTAAGTTCTTCCATCAACTCCAACACGATATGAGACAATCCTCATATGAAATGTTTCTTCCTGATGAGTTTGATACCTTTCTTTAGCTAACCTAAACTTTTTTCACGTATGGGTTTACACTGTTGAGCATATTGATTATCGCCTCTATAACTTCCTTTTTCAACTTTTGCTTCCCACGTGCTTGATTTTAGTCTTGTCTTTTGCTGAAATTCATATTATTTACAAAGTACAAATTAAATTGAAAATATTAAATTCGTGTAAAGGAAGACAAATAAGAATCTATACATAATAATAATATAGATACAAAACCTAATTACCGGTTTGTAATTTCTTTATCTGATCAGTTGATCCTTTGAGTAATGGAATCTTGACAGTCCCTAGGCCACAACATAGACTGAAGTTTGGATTCTTTTCCTTCCTTCGTTTGTTTAAACGTTCATCAGACCACATCAACGCACCACAAAACTTACATTGATACGTTGCATCACCATGATCTGAGTAAGATGTGAGTAGCAAAGGAAGCAAAAGAATCATTCAGTCAAAAATCAATACATCAATCATATGCACTGAAATTACTATGTCATTGATTTTGACCTGTCGTTGGTTGTTTGCTGTCTTTTTCCGTATTCTATCATGTTTTGCCTTTGGTTGCTGGACCATTGAAGACCTCTTCTTACCTCTTGTTTTGACTGATCGTTCTTCTTTTCTCTTTCTTGCAATTGATTAGGCATCTCTTCATGTTGCTCGACAGAGTTACCGTATGCTATATCCGTTGCTTCAACGTCTGAATCCATTCTGATATCCTCTTCCTCAGGACTACTATCATCATATGTTTGCCTTCATGGGCTATCACCAGTATCTAACTCGGACAACTAATCATCTATGAGCTCGATGTCTTAGCAATCAGAATTCTTGCAGTCCATTACCTCTCCATCTGTAAGGAAGTACTAATGTTGGAAGACAAACTAAGTTTATTTTCAGACTTTATTGGAACCTATTGTACCTTGTTGGGTACCAGGGTTGTTAGACCATCACTAACGATGGTTGCTTAGTGTTTCTTAGGTTAATCTTAGTTGTTTTTAGATTAAAATTTAAATCAAAATTAGCTTAAAACCATAAGATACGTATCTTGATTAAGATAAAAAATGGGTTAATAGACGTCCACGTGGCGTGTTGTGAGTGGATACAAAGATAAATATATAAGCGGAAAATAACAATTTTCTTTGTTTCTTCCTTTTAATTCTCTCTCTCTCTCTCTCTCT